CCCGCCACTTCTCCCTTTCTCTCTCCACTCTTCGCAGCCTCATCCTCACCCACCCGACATCCGACCCCTTCTCCTCTCTCCTATCCTCCGCCTCGTCCGGCCGATGCAACTTCCACTCCGCCGTGTTCTCCCTCCTCGTCACGACGTACCTCCATCTTGGCTTCCTCCGCCAAGCTCTCGATGCCTTCTACCGCTCCGTCAATGCTGGGTTCCCTCCCGATGCGGTCACCTCCAATTCCCTTATAAATTCTCTTGCAAAAGCTGGCGAATTTGATGGCTGCTGGGAGGTTTACACGGCAATGAGGAACGCTGGAGTTGTGCCTAATCTCTACACTTTTAACATAATGATTAACGCGCTGTGCAGAGCTGATGATGCCGTGAGGGCGAGGGAGTTCTTGGAGGAGATGGGAATGAATGGCTTCGATCCTGATGTCGTCACTTATAACACGCTGATTAATGGGTATTGCAGGAAAGGGAGATTAGAAGAAGCGCTGGGATTATATAAACTGATGTATCGAAGAGGAATCGAGCCGGATTTGGTGACTTACACTGTTCTGATGAAGTCGCTCTGCAAGGAGAGGAGAGTTCCCGAAGCACACCAGCTGTTCGACAGAATGCGTCATACAGGTCTGAGCCCGGATGAGATGTGCTTTGGAGTTATGGTTTTTGGTTACTCCAGAGAAGGAAAGATGCGGGAAGCGTGGATATTGGTTCAGGCCATGATTAGTTGCGGCTACCTTCCAAATAATTTTCTCTGCACGGAGGTGGTGAAAGGTTATGTAAATGTTGGAAAGCTGCTTCCTTGTTTGAACATTCTCGCTCAATTTCGAAAGATTGGAGCCGCAGTTTCGTTTGATGCCTATAAGCATCTTGTTGCTGCTCTGTGCCATGAAAGGAGGCCAAATGCTGCAAGGAATCTTTTGAAATGGATGGTTGAAGATGGGTTCAAACCCAATGTAGACATATATAATCTGATCATTCAGTCCTTTTGTGATTTAGGGTCTAGGGCGGATGCCTTTAGCCTCAAGGACGAGATGGTTGAGATAGATATTGAATCTAATCAGTATACATACACCATACTCATTAGTTTTCTTTGCAAAATAGGCGAGCTAGCGGTGGCTGAATGTTTGATTGAAGAAATGGCAGGTTGTGGACATGTTCTAGATTCTGTAACTTGTGCCGCTTTGGTTAGTGGATACTGCAGCAGAGGAGAGGTGAGCAAGGCTGAAGACCTTGTAAAGTACTATGTGTTGGAGTTTGGGCTCCATGAAAACGCCGTCTTTAATGATCTAATCAAAGTTTATGCTGACGAAGGGGATATGGAGAAGGCATTTGAGTTGAAGAATAGGATGATGAAACTGGGTTTTGTTCCAAATCCCGAAACGTGCAAGTTATTGGTTAATGGACTGTTGAGAAATGTATCTAGTTTAGATGTGTAGCAGTCAGGACTCTTAGCGGAAATCTCATACATTGGGGTAGAGAAGATAATGGGTGGGAAGACTTCTTAGTTGATCAACCTCGGGATGTTTATATTGAAAGGGAGAGGCTCAACAGAGAAAGATTCAGGGAGGGAAGAAAAGAAGCAGGAGAAACAGGAAATTTATGGTGTAGAGATCTGTATTCAGAGGAAAGGAAGCACCAGCTGTGGAAATAATGGGGCTGACAGTCCATATTTCTATGAAATGAGAAAATAGAAGAAACAACTATCCATCTTCCCTAAAGTAATACTTTCTATATTTATACTGAGGTCACAGCCTCGGCACTATTATTCTTTGCATAAAAAAAATAGTAGCAGGGATAGTCAGAAATGATAACAGGTGGCAACAGTTTTTAGTGTTTGAGTTGGTATCTGGTGGATGATAAGTGTTGGGAAAGATGTGGAAACTGATTCGAGCAATCTGAAGTAAAATTTTGATGAGAATCAAACAAAATAAGAGAACCACAGAAAAAAATAAAGTACACAAGATTTAATGTGAAAAAGCCAAGAAATCCAAGAACGGTAAATAACTACTTAGCCACACCACGCCAAGAAATTTATTATGAAGAAAATTAGAAGAATTGTACAAATTACACCAAACTCATGTCTCTCAATACTTTGAAACACTTCAGGACACTCCTCTCCCTTGCACAAGAGAAAATTTGAAATCCAACTCTTCAGCGAGCACCATTCTCATAGGGAAGCTGAGATTTTAAGTAAAAACTTCTTGCATTCTGTTACTAGCATAGGGGCGCCGTGATAGTGGTGTTGTGGTGCTCCCCTTCAGACGCTGCATTGTCATGCTGTTGAGTTCTGAGTCTGGACTGGGCGCTGTGGTGCTGCTTGTCTCTGAGCAGGGGCTTTGCATATAGGCGTTATGGTGCTTCCCTCCAGGAGCTGGAGTGTCTTGCATAAAGAAACTCATTGTGAAGCATGGCAAGCAAAAATTGAGGGCTCTAAGTGAATAATTGATTGATACAATCAGGCTCCATATAATAACTATAAGTGCATAGATAAGAATGTTGGGGAAATATGGAGATTGAGTGGAAGTGAAAGTATATAAGAGTAATCATTTATTTTCTAATTATTTGGGAAGGGTTCTAATTTTTGTTGTTGTAATTTAGATGACGTGCCCAAACGTGAGCTTACAAGAGCCATAATGAGTTCCCGTACTTTAAGAACTTCTAAATGATGATACTTTTTGTTTGTGTTGTTGTTTAATTGATGTAACATCAAATTTGGGAAGGGTTCTAATTTTTGTTGTTGTAATTTAAATGATGTGCCCAAACGTGAGCGTACAAGAGCCATAATGAGTTCCCGTACTTTGAGAACTTCTAAATGACGATGCTTTTGTTTGTGTTGTTGTTTGATTGATGTAACCTCAACTTGACTAAATTTAGCATACTGTCAAAATTAGTTGCCATTGTGGAAGTTTTTTTCGCTGTTGCATTTTGGTAAAACAGGTAGATCGACCACGTGGTTTGGCTTTTTTAGTGCATACAATGCTGAATGGACTAACACACTTGAGCGATTGATAATGGCATTACAAGCTTGACTGAGGATTTTGTTCCAATGTGTCGAATGGTCTCCTATCAGACTTATTAACATATTAGCAGTACGATTGACCACTTCAATTTGTCCGTCTATCTTCGAATGATATACATAGCTGTGATGGAGATTTATATATGATCTTTTCCATACTTCTCTCTAAAAGAAACTAATGAATTTAATGGAGGATGCCATGTAAGCATACTATTTCACAGAAAAATGGCGTGGAATATTGACAGCATGGAAATATTTCTATCTTGAAAAAATGGCAAACTACTACCATGATACAATAAACATCTCATTTGGTCCTTGAGAGGTTTGGAATGAAGGCCAAACTGATGTACTCCCAAATTGAATTGGGCACTGGAAGTAAA